TTGGGGCAAAAGGTTGAAATTTTCTCAAGACAAATTCCCCTTAGATTTAGTGCAATTTCATTTACTTTTGTCTTGGCATTTAGTGAGATTTGTTAGCCAGTTGCTTAAGACGCTTGTCAGATGGAAAGGTTTTTGGGTTGGCTTGGACTTTCATTTCACACAATATTTGATTGCCGAAAACTGTGGGGAACTGTAGAGCCTTTTGTTGTCGTCCCGGGAAACCTATGGAAATGTTTGCGCTTTGATACCGCCCTTAAATTTTTAAATTACCTTTGAACAAGTGTCGAGAGCATTACCGTTGTCCCTAACAACTCACGGGAAATTATGGGTATTTTCCCTCATCTCAAGGCGGCTTTATTTTCGTGTATCATTAGTGAGCTTAGGAAACTTCCTTTTGAGGGATTTTCAAGTGCGGACATCTTGAAAAAAAGCTTGGAAAAACTGCCCACTCATTCAGTTCTCCAGCACTAAATGTTTAAACTTTGGCAACAAGTTTATGCAAATTAACGAATTCCTAATGATGCGCAGCTTTTATTATATATCCTAGATAGATAGACTTCTTTTTTAAAAACCTTTTACTTGGACAAACAATTATAGTGATGAATTATTTTTGAAATGAATAACAAACGTTTTGTTAAATTAAAGAAAATTACAATACTTTGGGTGCTTACATTTGATTTTTGGTTTGAGAAGTAATACATTTAAAAATAAACTTATGGAACCTTTATTAATTTAATTGCGTTAGTAAATATGCCCAGCGAAAGTGGCATTATCGGTGTTAAAATCTTTAAATAAAATAATGATAATTTTAGTACATGTGTTTTAACTTAAGGCGCTTTAATTAGTGTCCAAGTAATTGTTATAAACTTTAATCTTGAGATCAGTCCGTGTTTTTCTCTGTGCTTGAACGTTCATTATATTATCTGTTCCAGACCTTTTTGATGTCAATCACTCAGGCGCTTAAGGAGCTGTCATGCCCGACTACTTCCAATAGGAACCGCCGTCGGTGGTGCGGTGGTTGCGTCTTTGGCGGCGCCAAAAGAATTTAAATTAGCCAAGGCAGCTGCCAGTGGGTGCAATAGACGTGGCTGAAAAGTTACCCACTTGCGCTGGCCTGACTTTCCTAATGAATCATGAATTTCTCAACACCAACTCTGTTTTTTTTTGCATCACTTGGCTTTGTTTTGCCTTTGGTGTAATAAGCGTGAAACTTTTTGTGAGGCCCGAAAAAATTTGCTTTGTCGCTCTGCTCTGCATTTCAACCAATTAGTTGGTTTGTTTAGCTTGTTTTTTGTTAAAAAAAAAAAACAAAATAAAAACATAAAAAGAACAACAAGTCAGTGCTGATTGACAGTCACAGACTCGAAATCGTTGCCAAGTGACGAGGGAGCGATTGCCGAAAGACACTCAAACTCGGTCGGAAACTGTCAAGGCGTGACTAATACCTGTTCTCTTTTTTCTGGCTTGACACTGGAACTAAAATCTTGTACAATTCTTGAAATGTCAAATAAAGTACAAAGCCATACACAAAAATTTCAATTTTCAAACTTTTATTTGCACCATATAATGACCAAAATAACTCAAATCAATATTTTTCTAAGCTTTCAATGAGCACCTAAAGATCATACTCCCTATTTAATTTCGTTGTATTTCCTTGAGCGACTTCTGTTTTTACACTCGCTTTTTGTCTTTTTAAATTGGGTAAAGTTTTTTGCGACAGCTATTGAAGGATTTGTCCAAAAACACGCCCCACACACTCACACACGCCCATCCAATTGTCGTCCTGAAGTTTTCCTGTTCCGTTTGACGTGCGTGTTATGTGTTTGTGGGTAGGAGAGTTCCCGAATGACAACTTCTTACAACTTTGAGCAGGTATTTTTCGGGTGGCGGAATTCTCGCCAAATTGAATAGTAGTTTTTCACGACATCAGAAGTGCTGCCTTTTATCTTTACTGTTCGCTAAAAACTCAAAAGTTCGCAACCATTTTAGATAATATTTCAATTGCAAAATGTAAGCTATTTAATTTAAAGTTATCTTTTAAAAGCAAAACCATATTTTTACAAAATCTTGTCCATTTTGGTTGATAAATTTTATTGTGGTTCCATTTAAAGGATTTTTACAGAATTGTTGTTAATATGTCAGAATATGACTCTTCTCTTTAATCAGTCATATTAATAAAACAATTTCTTAAATTTACCCTTATTAATTCAATTTTAATGACTGGAATTAAGCTTCACCTGCCAACTTCAATTATGGCCAAATCACAGGCAAAAGTTGGCAAAGTGGAAGCCACGCAGACAATGGCCAAGTGATTTGCTTAACTGGGCGGATCCTTCACACTTCAACGCACCACCGGCAAGTGGATTAGGCCTGTTAATGATGGGGATTCATTCTGATTTGGCGCTTCGAGGTTCGAAGGCTTCCAGTCCCAAGGAGCCAATATTTTTATGAACCAACGGCCGCCCCCCAAGAAGGTGACAGTTTTTGTCAGAAATCGACATTACGTATGCGGAAATCGTTCGCGAACATGTTGGCTGACAAGCGATACGAATATATTGCCATTTGCCTTTGTCCTGCCGCCACTTTTGCCGTGTGCTGCTGATACAACAGGGCGTATGATTTTTATAAATGCCGTGTCGCTGCTGTAACAGGAAAACCAACTCACAAAAGGCAACCGAAATTTGCTCTTTTCTTTGCGGGCCGTGAGTGTGTTTGAAATATATCCAGGCACATGTACAGTCATGAGAAAAATATTAGCAATAAATAATAGTTTTGATTTTAATTCAAAAAAGTTTATGGTACAGCAATTTCATTATTCATAGATTTTACACAAAAATCTAGATATCATATACGTTTTAAAGAGTCATAATTACAAGCTTTTCAAATTATAACAGGAATATATTTTTAGTTTTACGATTTGATAAGAATGTCGTGTCAAAGAAACAAACAATAATGATTTATTTTTGTATACTATTATTTTAGCCAGAACTGTATATATATATATAGTGCTGACTTGCTTTGCTTTATTTTGTCGTTTCAAAATCAATACGAGCCATGTACGAATGAATTTTGCACGGCTTCTATTTTTTGCCATCAAGCTTCGCCCTCTGCCTCAAAGGAATTTCGGCAGCTCCCCAATCAATTGACTTTTGTGTGGGTGAGTTTGGTGTTTTGTCATGCTGCTTATTATAAAAAAATACCAGGAAAACTGATTTGTCAAGGCCATACAAATATTTGCTCTCATACAACATTAAATGAACATTTTTGCTTTATTGCACGTGTGTTTAGTTCCCATTGGATGATCAGCCAAATGCTAATAAACGGGGGGAAATAATATAATATGACGGCTGAAGGTAGGGAAAGGTTTGGTGACTTGTTGGTTTTTTGGCCGTCTGTAATGGAATGCTGTCGATTAAGTTGATTATCATGATGAAGGGGCAAAGTTTATTCGAGTGCCACGAAATACATATGGATTAGAGGACTGCTAACTATTGACTAGGGACAAATGCAAACAAAATGCTGAACTTATTGTTCACATTTACCAACTAGTTGCGATTTGCATTTTCAATCAATGTGTCGGTGACAAGAAAAAACAGTATCGAAATCGACAAACAATGATGATTTTGATGCCTGGTATGTTGGGCATATGCCAAGGACTTTACATAAGAAAAAATGGGAATGGAGTTAAATCAATTTCAATAAATAATATGCCTGAAGAAAATATATAATATTACAAAAAAAATTATTTAATAGAAAAGTAATTAAAATTGAAAATAAAAAACTTTTAAAATTTAAAATTTGAATTGTGCTTTGTTTTTCAGTCATATTTGGGGTTTCTGTAATAAAAAACACTTTTAGAAACATTTTACTTGGAGATGTTTTTCAAAGTGCAATCGTCAAATGTGTAAGTCAGTGTGTGAAAGAAGAGCTTCAAGTAATGTTTGTCTTCAGAGAGCTGAAGAAAACTCTTCAAGCACGAATGCCCCACAGTCACACGTTCAAGATGCCGAGAGAGCAGGAGAATTTTCACTCTGCACCTGTCTGCAGGTGGGATGTGCTTCTGTTCTGTTGTCATATTTTCATCACACTTCAGGTGTGAAATAAACACACATGTGTGTGCATATAGCAGAGTTCCTTGAAGCTGAAAAAACTTCGTGCAGCTTGAAATATTTGCTCACAATCATCTCTTTTTTTTATATTATATAATTCGGGGCAACAGCTTAATTTCGCAGTAGCCAGAACAAACTTTAACTTCAGTTGTGGTTTTATTCTTGGTCTCCGTTCAGTTTGCGCCTTTGGAAATTAGTTCCATGGTACCATACTTGTTGTTATGTGCTTTGCATAACTAATGATTTGGTCTGGGCAGCAACTTAAAGGGCTGTCCTCAATTAAATGGAAAAACAATAAACTCTTTATTATTAAGCCATCGCTTAGCAGCTGTACTAAGATATATATATATATATACATATATCTATTTATTTAATTAAAAAGTTGGGGGCCACAACCAAAGGAAGGGCAAATATTTGCATGGAGTTGTGTGTAATTCTGCCAAACATTGCGTAAACACAATCAGCCACTTACACACACGAACCCTCGTCCAGACATAATATCCGATTTCAATTGGAAGGAAAACCTATTAGAAATTATTTCCATTCACTAAATATTTGCTCGATTGTGTGCGCATCTTTGTTATTGTTGTTAATGCCATTGTATTCAATGAAATGCTACCAGACCCGAAAAACATTTCCCATAATAATTGTCAGTCTGATGCCCTCACAATCGCAATCCCTTTATTTGGTTAGATTTTAAGCCTTGAATTTTCGTGTTGGGTCAACGTTTGTGTGGGCCTGTGTGTGTGTTTGGCACACACGGCGTATGCGTATTGTTGATTTAGTTGATTGGCTTAAAGGCGTGACCTAACCGGTACTGCCAACAATAATTGGCCGGATTCCTCTTATTTGATATTTCCCCCAGTCCCTTCAATTAGCCAGCTCTCTTACCTTTTTGGCCTGCAAAACTTCAATTCTTCGATTTCCGACACCTGAAATGAAGAGGAAATTCACTGATGAGTTCTCAACGTAAAATTACATGTTTCGTTTAATCAAATGGCTTAAATTAGACATTGTTTGTTCGGCTTGCATTCCAGTTTGCAATCGTAATTAATAATTAAATCCTGGTGAGGTATTTTCTTAACCAGCATTTTCTTGTTTGGTATGTTTCAATTAATATAATTCCAACTCGGTTTCGGTTTTGTTGCGGCAAAACATCAAATTTTCGCTCCAAAATTCTAGCTCAAAATGTGTGCGTATTCCTTGAAAACTTTTTTGCCTGCAACGGCAGCTGGAATTTCGCTTTTTCGAGAGGGTTTGCTTTGTTTTTTTGTGCCCGGTTGTTTATGAAGTGTCCAAAAGTGTGAGCTGGCCTGCCCGCCTGTTTGTTTGCCTTTCATGTTAATGGACTTTACGCGCACATGGACACTGGCAGGCAGTACCAACAGAAGCATCAGCAGGAGCACCAGCGAGTTTTCCTGAAAAGCGGTTCCCTTTTTTTTCTGTTCTATAGCTAACTTTTGGTGGATGGCATAGAGACATAGATAGGCGTGTATATATACACTGACAAACAAATTGTAATTTGTGGTATTTTGTTAAATTGTACATATTATAAATGGCATGATAAACTCTTATTGATTTTTATTGTTCAAGTAAATTCAATAGAAATGCCCTTTTTTTTTAGAAAATTTAAATATTTTTAGACAAAAAACGCAAAAATAAATATTCACCTAAACGGAATTTTCTACGCTATGCGTTACTCAGCTTGTGTTATTATTTTTAATTCGCGAATTTAGGACCAATAAACCTTATCCGATTTAAGGAGCTATTATAAAATTATATATTTATTTGATAAAATAAAGAGAGTATTTATTTAATATAAATCAAAAAAAGTACAATAAAATTTATCTAAGAAACTGTCTTTATTTTTTTCTGTGCACATATATGGGTAGCACAATATATGCATTGAGTTTGCCTTGTTCGCCCAGCTGTTGCCGTTTGAATTTTCCGAAAAACTAACAGCGTTCGGTTTTAATCGATGGTTTATCGTTTAAAGTTTTCCATCAGCATAAATTCAGAACCGTTCATTGCAAAGCCTTGAGCAATTTTTCATTAGTTTCTGACGTGACAATGTTGCGTATCCTCAATATTTATCTAAGTTTCTTACGACAATCGTAAATAACCACCGAGAGACACACTCACGCGTGCAACATGCTGTTCGACAATTATTTGTGTTGCTGCAACACGCCAAATAAACATTTTTTTCGGTGGGGTGAGGTGGAATACTGAGACAAAAGTCAACATAAAAATGAAATACAAGGCAATAATATTTTCCCAACATGTGTGTGTGTGCTAGGGGTTGTTTATTTGGGTGATACCCCCTATTTGTCTTGTTCGTGTGCGCATAAGTAGGCAACGATATTCGTTGGCTGTGAATATTAATAAACTTTTTGCACCTTTCGCTACCCAGAACTGTTTTTATTTTGTGCTCCCGTTTATATGATGCTATTTTTTCAATAAAATACTCGTCAAACTGTATCTCATTACGTATTATTAAAATTCTTTGGCTTTTAACAAGGTGGCCTGCAGATGTTTCCCTTTTCGGTTTTAATGTAGCAGCGAAACTTTCCGCTAAAACTGGAATAATAAAGCTTTCATATGCATACGCGTAGGTGGTAAATGGCGGCATTGGCCACAACTACAGGTAATAATGAAATTTCTTTAATGTTTCGTTGGCATACATTTCGCCCAGAGGTAAATGTTGGCAAACACTCTGCAACACTTTCCTCTGCACTTAAAAAAAAGCAAAACAAGGACCAAATTTTTTGTTATGTATGTTGTCTTTTTTTCCTTTCATAAGTTTTAATGAATTAATTAGAAAAGATCCTTAATTGTGCTATGAGTTTTTATTTTAACTTTTTCGATTATTAAAATGAAAATTAGTGAAATTCAATATGAATCTTGATGAATTATAAAAATTGATTTTTTTAATTAAGGCAATAAGTAATATTTAAAATTATCACGGGAGACGCCAAATTTTTCTGCGTGTCAACGCAGGACAATTTTTAATTAAAACGCCCCCAATCGAGCTTATTAAAAAGTTGCATTGACTGGCCAAAGGTGATGACTAACGATACTACCTCGCTGGTGGATTGAGTGCAAAAATTAAATTGCTGACCGATGCAATGGCGAAAGTGGGACAACTCGGTTCGGTGATGCGTTATCATAATGTCAAATGGATCGATGTCCAAGCGGGACAGTGCAAACACAGAGGCGGAGTAGGATATAATAACGGCTATGCGCAAACAGCGTGACAACTGTGTGCCATATCGTCCCCCTAGATCCTACGGCTGTATGGGCCACACAAATTGCTATTTTCAGCGACCTATGCAATTCGCCGGCCTTGTTGACATTGTCCGGCAACTGTCATCGGCTATCGGCGAAAATATTAACAAATACTCCATGTGCTTGGGCCTTCAATATTGCAACACCGCCGCTTGAGGCAGTTGAAACTATAGTATATGGTTTTAAAGGCACGATGGATATTTTTTGACGTCAAACGTAGAACATGAAATTTGAGAGACTGAAATCAAAAATATATCTACATTTGATCAATAGTTCGCAATAAATATTTTAATAATATTTTCTAAGGGTAAGAAATCTTAATGCATTCTGGTTTGATATTTCACTTTGTAAATGGCACTTTAAGTTAAATTTAAAGAAAAAGGTTCATTGTATAAATTAAAGCAGATACTCAATATATAGTCTTTTTTTTTGTTATTAAATAATTAAAAATGGTTCAAGACTTTAAATCCAACGATTTCATTTCATGCAAAAAACTACTTGTTTCGTATCGCTTCACGTGAATTTAAAAAAGTCCCCTACGAATCAGAGTCGAACAATTAAATCTGGTTCTGTGTGGTTTCTGCTTACTCATGCACGCGGCTTTTCCATAAATAATAGATCGCCGCTCTTCAACCCTTCCCAATGCTGTTTGAATATTGTTAGGTTTTGTAAAGTGCATTTGTGTAAAATAAATTGTATATGTTTATATTTGTCTGCAATGCCATGCATATATATCGGCATATATCTGCTGTTAACGCACGTTCAAACAATTTTGTGCATTTTTTGTAATATCTGAAAATGCTGGTGAAGTTGAATATGTTTCTTTAGATTATTTTTCGTTGGGTAATTTAGTTTCTATAATCGGCCAACTGAAATCGGAAAGGACAAACATGGGATTTGATGAAGAAAAATAAAATCCATTTGATATCCGAGTTTGATTAAGTGGAATAAAACGAAGAATTCCAATAGACTGTTTTGTTGCTCTGGGAAATGTTTATCATTGCCGTATTGCTACTGTCATTGCAATTAACAGACAACTTGATTGGATTTGCTTAGTATTTTGTTTTATTCGGACAAGCATTTTGACAAATAATAAATTATTTATGTTGAAGAAATTTCCAAGCTAACTGCTGTTTAAAGTTAGTTTTTTTAATTTTGTGTATTTTTGGTTCTCTTATGGAATGTAAGGCCACCAAAACAAACCAAGAGTCATAAAAAAAACAACGTTTAAAGTATATATATTTCTGGGTGTGGGAAAGCGCAGCGGAAGCGTCAAAATGAACGGAAATTGGCTTAAAAATGACAACAGAAATGCAACAATAGCGGCCAAAAAACAATGCTGGTCAAGTGGTGTAGCCAAAAATCGTACACGATAGCTGCTCTTTTGGAAGCCCTTGTCCGCTGTAGTCCGTCATTCTATACATATGTATATATAAAAGCAATATCTATTCATGCGAAGTTTAGTTTTTCGATTTTCATTCGGTTTTCATGGCGTTCTGAACATCGTTTTTGCATTTATAATTTTTAGTTTCATTGTTTCTCTTGCACACACACAATTTCCTATTAAATATGGCAGCATTTTTACGTCTCGTTGATTATTTTCGCGGTTGGTTTTGTTTTGCGTATTTTATTTTTGTCCATTTTTGTTTTGCTGTATGTTGTTGTTTTGGAACTATTTTCCGCTTTGGCTTTTTAGTTGCGCTTTTGGTTGGCCCCGTGTGGTCAGTTTTTGCTGCTCTTTTGGCCGGACTGGGCATTAACTTTTGCACGTTACAAGCTTAACATTGATTCTGCGGATACGCAAGGCACGGTTCCATTTTCGGAGTTCACGCCCATTTTCCCGATTTCCCTGTTTTCCCGAATCCACAGCAGATCTGTTATGTGGACGCCGTGAGCCATGTGTCCGGCTCTTCCGGAGGGCATCATTTGCACAAGAATTGCAAAATGTTCGCCGTCCGGCCGACGGGCTTTTGTAAACAAAAAGTTAGCTGCCATTTTGGCAGCTTCAATTTTGGGCTTTTCAAAGAAAAAAAATACGGCATTTTAACTATACGATTTTAAGCAAACATAGTTGGTTTCTAAAATTTTTGTATAGAAAATGTTTTAATGTAAAAAAAAATTTTCTTAAAATGCATTGTATATATTAGAATATTAGAGCTAGCAATCTTTCCAAAATAGGTATGTGTAAAAAAAATTAATATATATACATTTTGTTTTCGGGGATTTTATATCGCTATTGTCATGGTATGTTGTCAAGCAACGTATACGTGTTTTTAAACGAGCTTCTGTAGTTTAAAATGGTGCTTGATTTACCATTGTTAAGCTATGCCAGGGAAATGGAATTAACTAAGTGTTCGGCCTTAAAGTGACCAAAGAAATTCCCAAGAATAATGCTTGACTTTGTTCGGATCATTTGATGGTGGCATGGCCCGGCAATATCCTTTCCGGAAACGTAAGAGGGGTTCGCTTTTGGCCTCTCCTCTTACGATTTTCAATAGCAAATAAAATCCCGGTAGTTTCAATTGCCAGAAAAACTGCATCTGCTCTGTACGCAGACACACGAGCACATATGGATGCGCTCTGTTCCGTTTCCGGTTCTAAATATAGTTATTTCTGCACTGCTGGCAGCCATGGCAACTCTTTCAGGCACTTGAGCAGCATCAGGCACCTGACTGACTGACTGCCTGGCATTCCGGCGCTGGGTCCAACCGGAGCCATTTCCCAGTCCTGGCAGCAACTGTTTGCTCACCGACGGAACTTGGCAGCACGGAAAGAAATAGTCGATTATCTCCTCTACTAAATTTACAGATATAGACTAAAGAATTTTAATCATAAACACCTTTAATATTTATCATACGAAACATAAAAACTTTTTCGTTCCAACGCAAAACAAAAATGAAATCAAAGGAGACTTCTAATCAAACACCCATATAAAGAAAGTAAATAGGTTTATATAGCATGTTTTGTTATTTTAAAAGACAAGCAATCCAATAAATACATGGCGAGGTTTTTTTTGCTTTTTTAATTTATATAGCATGTTTTGTTATATTAAAAGACAAGCAATTTATTTATTTGCCTTTTTAATTTGTACAACTGTTAAAAGAGCTTCAAAACTCTGGATGTTTCTGGGTCCCCCTCAACAGTATTAATCAATGAAATTTCATTAAATGTTTTAAAAATATGTTTTTTCAATGTATTTAGTCAACATTTTCCCTCGTTTTATCTCTTTCTCCCTGCACTATGTGTATTTCTGTATGCAAATAAGCAAAATATTTTAACAGCAATGTTTTTTGCGTTGTCGTCTGGGCCGCTGTTTGCCAATGACTTGTTGATTTTACAACTTTTCCAATTGAATGAACTTGCTAGAAGAGGAGAACTCATGTTTGTACCGAGGAGAAAAGTGATTTTCACTCGCTGTCACATCTTTTTTCAATTATTGATAAAAATGCATAAGCTTAAAATGAAAACTGTTTGCAATTTGCGCGCGCTGCATATAAGTAATAAACACATATTGCATTTTCAACAAACATGCATCAGAATATTACATTTATTTAAAAAATGCAGCACGTAAGACTCGGTGGAATTCCCCAGCTTCAAAATGGAGTCGACAACGTAAATAAATTTCGAGATTGGGGACATGGTGCCCTCATTGCTTCATTGTTGTGTCGAAGCTTTAACCACAAGTGGGTGGGGTTTTTTTATTTGGCATTCTGGAATTTTTGTTTACACAAAGCAGCACGTTTGGAAATCGCCGAAAAATCGAATGAGGAAAGTGGCGGAGAAAATAAATAAATATTATGAGTGAGTCGGGGCGAATGACACGATATGTCAATGGTGGAAAGCTCTATCCCAGTCTCTTGTTGTTGTCAACAACTTTTGGCACTTGACACTTAATGTGCATCATTGCGCAGCTGACAATTTCAAGCCATTTCCGTGGTGCCAGCCAAGTCACTTCCACATCTTCTATTTCTCCTTCTGGTGGAGTAAAGTTTCGACTGTTCAAGTTTTGCATGGCCATATAAAAATCGAATAACAAATTGCTCACAAAAGCAACTGCAACTTGGGAGGATGGGGGACATTTTCTGACATTTTTATGAGCAGCTGCAAAAGATTTTTGTCGTTTGTTAGATTTTTGCTCTGTACTTCCTCTATTCCAACTTGTTTTCCACTACCAAAATTTGTTGTGCGTGAAAAGTTCTCAAGATGAAGATAGAACTTTTCCGTGTGACTGATGGTGAGCGTGATTTTCGAGTTTCCAAATGTCAGCCGCAGACTCCCGTCGCTTCTGATTGACAAACATTTTGTGGCTGTGCGAAATGTGAATGTGTAAATTCAATTGAATGGCGGCCCCAGGAAATTCAGTTACTTTTTGGCCAACAGCTGTCGCTAATTTACAGCCAAGGTAAAACTTTTCCAACGCCAGCATATTGGTCGAGTGGCCCCGAAGTTTCAATTAAGCTTGAAAGGACACACACAAGTTTCCCCCACTACGACCATCGCATATTTCAATAAGTTTTCAAGCTCAGAAGCGCCGCGCTAAAACAACATAATTCATACTTAACTCACCGAAACAGTTTCCCCGAAAAGCGCCGCCCAAAAAGAAAATTGTGCAAAATGGCCAAGGGCTAGCTGCAATGAAAAATGGCAGAGCGGGAAATAAAATTGCATTAGTGGTGCGTACACAAAGAAAAATCAATTGAAAAAGTATATGTTCGGTAAATTTAATAATCCTTAGTGCACATTTTTTTATTAAATTAAAAAAAAACATTCACAATTTTACTATATTCATAATTTAAACATGTATAAAAAAACTTATGCTTTAAATCGTTTTTTTCGGTCTATTTTATAGTGCATTTTAGTGTCCTTTTGTGTGTGCGTGTGCGCCAAGTTCTGAAAGATGTAGCTGGGCCTCCTCATAAAACGAAATTAAATTTATGTACAGTTGCAAAGTTGGCGGGGAATGGCGGATGGTTGAGAGCATAAAACTTTCAAAGGCAGCCGGGAAGTGGATCTAAACACGCGGCCAGCCCATCCTGCTCGTAATTCAAAATTCGAGTAGCAGTCGCAGTTTCAGGCAGTAAGGCAACCGCCAAAGGCACCGGATGCACGGCAGCACTGCATCCTGTTTTTTGTTGTGGGCGGGATCTGTTCACGCTTGTTTTCACTTGGCCAGCGTAGTAGGCCTTGTTCATCCCCTTCATCCCCTTCCTCCGCCTTTCGGAACCTGGCCCGAAAACTTGGCCATGTTGCCCGCGGGTGTTTGCGGTGGCTGGTTGCATTGCTGGCCACCTTTGCCTGTCACTTGCCGCAGGCCAAAAGCGGGCAACTGCAGCAATCGCAACAGCAACATCAACTGCCAGGACCAAGCTTTAAAGCACAGCGGAAAATTTCGATGTTTTCCCTCTTAAGCAATCCTGTACTGCTATTTGTAACAATCAGTTCTTAAAGTGATCCAAACCGTATTTTCCATAGATTCTTTATCCCTACGCATTTTTCGATTCAAAAATACTATATGGTTTTATTAGTTAAATGTAAAACAAATTTGTTTGCTTTATTATATTAAAACACAACGTTTTTTAATAACGTAAAAACAACTGATTGAAATACAAAAAGAATATAAGAATAACATTTTAACCTTTTTGTTTTTACATGCTGTTAAATTATTTAATTTGTAAAAGGTTTTAATTGGATTTTTAATTTAACATTAAATTTTGTTCCCTGTATAAACGCTTTTCTTTTAATGAAAAGCATGCACTCAAATAAAACCTAAATGAACACTTTTACGGAAAACTGAACTGTAAGTGCGCCCCGAGGTAAATGCGTTTTTCGAATCAAGTTATTGAGTTGAAAAACCAAGGGATGCGATTAAAGCCTAGATATTCCGTTAGAATGCCGTCAATCTCGATCTCTCTAATCCGTTGAACAATTGGCAGCCTTCTCAACAATTTTAATTGAATTTCCTGAATCAGTGCAGACTAGAAAAACTAAGGCCAACAAAAATGCAGCTCAACTTTAAAGCAGAAGGTGTGTAAAATAAAATAAAAACTTTCGTTAGCATTTAAAATTGAGTTCTTGCTTATAAATGAAGAACACACATTTATATCCAAATAAATAGTTTGCCAGGTCTCCAACGAATATGGTTTTACCGAACATATAATTTAAATGTAATTGCTTTGAGTTGACCATTACAACTTTATGACCACTACAAAAGAAATTTACAATACAAGTGCATGCATTTTCAATATGAGCACCTACTCTAGTTACTAGTAAAACAATTTGGGCTATCGACTGTAAAATTCCACTTGAAATTGTATTTCACGTGTTTTTCTTTTAAACGATAACTGGAAGTTTTTTAATTAAAAGCTTTAAGGGTATATATTTCGCGTAAAATTTTAACAAAAATGTTTAAATATCCGTAGGTGGAAGATTCCATTTCAGAGTATGTAATGTTGGTAATCGAAATGAAATACAGAAGATGCCATAGCTGGGGAAGGGATATGAACACGTACATTGGGTATTGTAATGGGAATTCTGAAAAAAGGAGTCAAAGGAGACCGAGTCCAGGAACAGTCCGTCTGTGTAATTGCCAAAGGAACTGACTCCGGAGCTGTCTGTTTGGGAATTATTGATAAATTCCAATGTATGCCAGTTGACAAACATGTTGTTGTTGTTGTTATTGCTGGGTATCGTAACCAACTCTCATCCAGGGACGTTTCAATTGTAATTACGTTTATTGCATTGCTTTGGCTTTTGGCTACGAAATTTTTTCTTCTGTTTTCCCCATTCGCCGTCTGTTGTTTGTATCATTGACTGACTTTCGTCCGTGCGGAAAACACAAAAAAAAAAGAAGAATTTCAGTAGGCAATTTTGCAGACAAAGACACAGATACAGAAACACATACGGATACACCCACGCAGGACTTGAGATACGCACACGAACTGGCCCAGCATATTTTTGACATTTTGTGCATGCCTGTGCGCCAAAGTATGCAACGTTCCATAATCGAAGGCTGAGATTTCCAAGGCGAGTGTGTGAAAAGTGGGGGAAATCGAATGAAAATACTCGTAGGTGACTGGAGAAATGCACTTCAATGGCTGCCCAGCACAATCGTAGAGTGCTTCCCCAGTGCAGAGCTTTGAATACTAAACCTGAACCCTAAGTGGGTTGTAAAGAAATTTTATTTGGCCGCTTGAACCGCAATGACCCACATGCGTTTGCAATGAAAATAAAATTGAAGCAAGTCATTTCCCGACACTCTCGGCACTAACAAACTTTAGGAACCTTAAGAATCCTTTTAAAAACTTCAAACATGAAATAAATAATTTATAGTATATATAATATTTTATAGTATATACATTTTTAATGCAAACTGATTTGTAAAGTATAATGATAAAGATCTAAAACCATAAATAGTAATATGTTAAAAAATTGAAAATGATTATTAAAATTTAAGCATTGATATTTTGTTTTATAATAAATAATTTTCTAGTGCCTTTTCAATAAATATGTAAACACAAACAATATACAAATTTAATATTTTGAAATAACAAATGTCTTGCAGAATCTTAGAGACATTTCTTTCAATGATTACAAACATATGTTATGTCCTTAAATTTATTTTGGAGGATTAACTCCTATTTTTTTGTATTTGTGCTAGAACTATAGTTAGAGTATGTTATGTGAGCAGATGGCTTTTTCCTGGCGAAAGTCCGGGGAGCGAGCACCTTTTTGGCATGCAGGCCGCAAAACTATGCGAATGCGAATGTCTGTGAGTCTGTGAGTCTGTCTGCCTAGTGGCATGCAGCAACAGTTTCCAGGACTTTTGCGGGGGGTCAAGTCCTGGACTTGGACAGCTTCCGGAGCAGCTGGGATTCGTAATCCTCAGCAATCCCTTCTGCCACGAACGCAGGATGAGATTGAATGTCTCCACTGAAATGTGAGGTGGTCGGGAATGCAGACGCAAACGTTTACTAGAAACAAATATTTTCCGATTTCGTTTTTTACGGAAACCACACCGGCATGAATATTCCATGGGACATTTTATTACCTGGCCCCCAGGTGTGTCCTGAGCAAATCAAAATGCTTTTAAAAATTTCATCTTTGGCTGGGCATGAAATTTTAACCTGCCCATATAATATATTTTGACAACTTGCTTGCGACAATGCCAAACGGAGGAGAGTGTTGGTCGAGCCATTTGTGGAATTGCATTTAAAAATCGTTTACTCTTTCATGAGTGCCCCCATTGGAGGACACGCCCATTTCAGGGGGTCAGTGGGCGGTGGGTGGCAGGGGTTGCTCGAGTGTTTATGCTGCAATTTGTTGCAAACGCACGTAGCAATCGCATTGCAATGGCAATCCTTTTGGCCAACAACATTGTTTTTCTTCATTTTACTTAACTTATGAAAAATACATTCGTGTGCCGCACGCTCACACACTTATTTATATATGCAACCATATAAAATTGTGTAGTTACACCAAGGAAAAATAAGGCAAATGTAGCCAGCTTGTTTCTTTGTATAAAAAGTTCAAGCACATTCAACAAATATAAGAAAAATAATTTATATGTCTAAATATTTAAATTAAAATAACTTTAATTGTAGCCATTAATTGTTAAATATTACTTTTCGTTTAGTTGGTTAGTTATATTAGTATTTTTTCTATAAAGTCTTCCTTTTTTGCACCTTTGTTTTTCACAGATACTTTTCGATTATAATATAATATTTTTTCCAATGCCCAAAAATTTTTCTCATCACCATTTCGCCAGGTGTCTGGGGTTCTTACGGGCTTCACAACAATGCAGAAAAAAGCGCTCTGGATGCAAACTTTTCCCAAACTCTTGACTCAAGTAAACGCCAGTGAAACAAAGGCGACCGGATAAGAAAAAACCCAGAAAGCGCTTGAATCTGTTTGTGTTTGTCAGCAAATTGTGTGTGAAGATGTCAACAAGCTAGTTAACTGCATTTGATCTGCACTTTGCCTGAAACACAAACTCAAATTTAAACCCAAGCCATTCTCTCGCTATGTGTGAATCTATTATTTTTCAAGCACATTTCACTTCGCAGTTATGTTAGTTTTCCTTGGCTTTCACATTTTCCCGTCGTTTTTTTTTTTGGCCAACGCTCACGTTGCTTAATACTTGGCTTCATGACGATAGTTTTCCTCTCTGGGTTTTTGTCTTTCGTTCGGGAAAATGTTGTCAAAATGACAGAACATTTTGCTGAAGTTTAAGTAGCATGAAGAGGCAAAAAGGGAGGGGGCCCCACGCATGTGTGCGTTTTGTTTGGCAGGACTTGACACGCCCTGTCATTTCCACAAAATTTTCCCTGCCTTACACCCCCACCATTTTTCGTCTAAGATATCCAGCGAAATTCGCTGGGGCTGTTCTTCTAATATACCATACTTGACTTTGCTGAAGCACTTAATATTCCATTCAATTATTTGAACACATTTAAATCCAAAGTCGGTTTGAATTTATCGTCTAAATTGCCAAGCATACTCCTATTTCTCCTTTATTTTCTTAAATGATATTTGCCTCAATTAAAAGTCTGAAATGCCAGAGAAAATTTCTGCAATATTTATATCCATAAAATGAAATAGCAATGCACTCGA